ACTGCCTATAATCCACTGGGTTTCGGCTCGAAAGTGATTTGACAATTGGATATGTTCCCTCGTCAGCTGTTCTTTAAGTATTTAACCCGGAAAATGTGCGAATTTTGTCAACTTTAATCCTATTATGCAGTTCTAATATATAAATGATATCTTTAAAAGCACAGAAAAAAGATTTTTTCCTGGGTCAAGATATTCTTGTGCAAGAAACTTTAAGATATGAACGGCTCATATTTTAAGGAGGAAGAGGCAGACTTAGGAATTTTTATCTTTTACTCATGTCTTTTGCTTTAAGAAAGACTTCAGTTTCGTTTCTTGCCTAAGATATTTCTTGGATCAAGAACTAGGCAAGAAACACTCTTTTAACCCTCCGAAGGTGTCCGCATTTTATCACACGAACGAAGTATGTGGGTCCAAGTGGACCCACATGTGGATAAGTAAGGAAAACGTGACTTTTCATCTGTACTGTGCTATGTAAGATATTCTAATTCTTCATATGGTTCTTATGCATCATTAGAAGACTAACGATTAGCGAAGAGATCGCTTCGAATTGCATAGATCTTAAAGTAGAAAAAAACAGAAAACACTACTGTGGGTCTCCTTGGACCCACAAACACCTCCGGAGGATTAACAAGAAATGCGCAAGGATCTTTCTTTCGTGACATCAAAAACTTCCATTAGACCTATATCTACACAAAGTCATTAGTTTCAAAAACAGCTATTTTTCTAACCAAGATTTTCAGGGGGAGTCCAACATTTTTCCACCAGATCGACAATTTTTTTATTATTAGCGATACCGGACTAGCGTAAAAAGAAGAGTAAACAAATACATGTCGCTCATAGCTACTATGTTATTCTATTCTTTCCAGTGTAAGTTAACTGTCCACTGGCAGAGTCTGTGCCACCTAGATCCTCTTCTTGGCTACGCCACTGTAGCTGTTACTTGTCTCACAATTAAGATGAGTAAATAATGGTCGTTTCGTTATTCTGACTACCTAAAATTTTCGACTGATTTATGTCTAATTTAGCTAATGGCTTCTTCATCTTCATTATCCAGTTCACGCTCCTCTTCAAATAGCTCTCCACCACCGACACCAAAACGTCATCGTCCACCTATTCCATGCGCTTATATCGATAAATTAAGCAATATTAAATGTACTAATGATAATTCGACACAATGTTTTCATTGTAATCTTCATTTTTGCCCAGATCATTTGAATATGCATGAACAATTTCAAACTCTAAAATTTCGTGCTCAACAAGAGAATGATGAACTAGAACGATTGAAAGTACAAACAAATCGTGATGAAATGCATCGACTCATCGATTATTGGCAAGAAAAAGAAATGGAAGAAATTAAAGTGAAATATGCTACTAAAAAAAGCAATTTTGATCGAGAATATAGTGAAGTATGTAAAAATTTAGAAACATCAAAAACAGATTTTGCAGCAGAAATCAGAACAAATATAATGACACAAATTGAACATTTATCAACGAAAAACGATGTACATCCTGAAGCTATTCAAGAATTAAAATTTTCATTACAAGAATTAAGTGAAAAAATCGAAAATTTAAGAAAATCAACAGTATTTACCATAGAATATGTAAATAATTCAATTAATATTAAAAAACCAAATGTCGACGAATCTACGCGGTATGATACATTTTTCACCTTGAAATTTCTTGACACTTATTCTTTCTGCTCAAGTTTATTTTTATCGTTAGTCTTTTTATATAGGTAACTTTGAAATCTTTAGTTTTTTTTAGAAATGATATTTCTAATGGTACGAAAATATTTCAACCGGAAGATGTTGAAAAAATGTTTCATTCACCTATTAGTAAAAAATTTCAACTCGATACAATAAGTGATAAAAGATTTAGTGGTATATTTGATTGTTCCAACGAATTTATTTTGGTTAATGATGTTCACAAATTACGTGTTTTCAATAAAGACAAACAAGTAAATGAATTACGATGGAATGGTGAACAAATCAAAGATATTCAATGGAATGAATTAATGTCAAAATTTTTAATATTAACCAATACCCATTTATTTTCATTATCACCATTAACAATGAATCTAATTAAAATTAGACAGATTAGAAGTATATTTGGTGAACAATTATCATGGATGACAAGTAGTCAGAAACATTTATTTATCAGTCATTACGATGGCGAGTATATTCAACATTGGTCAATTGACAAAGAAAAACAAAGTCAGGTAAAATGCTGCTCTTTTATTTTTAAGCTATAGTTTATCAGTTTATTTGAAACAAAATACTTTTTTATTATATGTAGGCAGTAGAAACAAAATTAAAATTATTAAAACGATATACACGTGAAGAAGATTTTAGTAACTATTGGATATATCGTATAAAATTAACACGTGATTGTAAATTGATTATTATGAATGTTTTAAACGAAGATATGATCGGTGAACATTTAATTCAATTGAGAGAAATGGAAACGATGAAATTATTAAAACTAATTGGTAAAGAATTTAAAATTTGTTTTGAATTAGCCTTTAAAAATGATCAACAATGGTTGGTAGCTGATTGTGATAGTGATGAATATTATTTTTATTTACTTGATCGAAAAGGAAATGATATGAAAAAGGTAGATTACAAATTTAAAAATGATGTTTGGTTACGAATGTTGGAAAATAAACTAGTGGTGTGGAAATCAGATGAAAATGGAGAATCAGTATTAGAATTACATTAAATGAAATATAATTATGTGTAATACTCTTTTGATTATAGTTTTTAGCTTGTTTCTTTTTTGTTATATGTTAACATAGATTATTAGTAATAGTAAAATGGTACGCATAAATTGCTATTGCTCGCATATTTCTGGATTCATCGCCAACTGGTAGGTTACGAAAAAAATGTCTTCTTCAGAATGTTCCGAACAGTCTTCATTAGATGATTGTCCTTTAATCATCAGCCGAAAAACTTAGTGAAACTAATTCATCCGATGTTCTAGAGTGCTTTTTGTCCTTGTTATTCCAATTGATATTGTCGTCAAGGGAGTGATCTGGTTTGAGAAGGTCTGTATGAAGCGAATATCTGAGTGCACCTATTTAAACTTTTTCTAAAAGCTAGCTTTTCAAGATTTTCAGAAAACTTTCGAAAAGCCTCCATACCACTTCGATGAGGACCAAATAACATTGAATCCTTCATATCAATTTACAAAGATATGAATTTTTGAGATCAACCATTCGTCTTATTCTAACACAATTTTTTAGACAGGTGTTTAATACCTATGCAATTACATGAAGAAATCATTTTTCATAATTGATTAAGATAGACTTTATTATTTACAATGAATATAAATTCGTTGACCACTTCTGAAAAGTAATATTCGTCGAATGAAATCTCTATGGCAAAAAAGTAAATAATAAAAAGTGATTAAATTGATATGATTGATAAAGAGAATTAATCGTACATCAGAAATTTATCAAAAGTATGAGCGGGGTCAACCCCCATACAACCTGGTCGCCCCACCACTCGGTGCAGACCCGCCAAGGAATTTCCAGTTTATAGAAAATCAAAAAGAAATTTCTACTTTCTGGAAAATTATTTATGGAAATTCAACAGCGATTTTCTAACAAACTGGAAAATCAAGGAGGATTTTCTAGATTGTTGGAAATTCGATTTTCTATAAACTGGAAAATCCTCGGAGAATTCCCATACGTACTCTTTGAAAATCGCCGAGTATTTTCCATAAATAATTTCCAACTTTACAGTGTAGGCAGCATCCTTCATGCTGTCAATACGTGAGTCAATATATCGGACAATAATTGGTCAATATATCTAATTTCATAGCTAGTGCCCAGGAGATCGAAAACGGTCTATTTAATGAGCCATTAATTGTCATTTAAATGACAATTAAACGGCTTTTAAAAGGCTGCTTTTAGACCTTGCAGGCTCTTTTTAGATCATTTTCCAGTCATTTTAATGATCTCATTTTAAAGCCTTAGATAGACCGTTTCTATAAAAGTCTAGAAATGACCTTAAAATGATGTTTTGGGCAACCGAATTTTCACGAGCTGGTTATAAACAGGCCGTTTTAAGTCGTTTTTTCCTAAGGGGTAAAAAATGTCAATTAACAAGCATTTAAAAGTTCGTTTATACATCTTACAAAGAGCTAACATAAGACTTTAAAATAATTCGCAGCCAAATGACACTGTTTTAAGACATTAAAGTGACCGTTTGAATAGCTTAAAAAAAACGTAAAACGGTGAAAAATAGTGTATTCGCGAGAACGATTTTTGTAGCAGATTTTCATTTTGACAGAATGTCTAAGCAGTTTTGTTATCTAAATAAAAGAGAAGAAATAATTTAATAAATATATTTTACAGAAAAAATCGAAAGTAAAGAAATCGAAGGAACAGCGGTAGCATGGCATGAGCTTGACGTATAAAAAACGTTAGGAAATCTAAAAATAACTGAAAAAGAAAGAATTAAACGTTAAAGATTTATTGCTAGAAAGAGAAAAATACCGAAAGTAAGGTGCCTGCTTTGAGTAATTGAGAAGAAAGTCACGTAATTCATCTATAGTTTAGACAGTTTATGAATAGTTTGCTCGAAATCTTTATTGAGACATTGACGTTTTCTTTCTCACGCTCTGAAACGCGGCACTTCGCTCATTTCACGCAATTATTGAAACAAAGTCATTTGAACTAAAAAGATGGACAATATCAATCGAAAAAATGACTTGGATGCTCTAAATTTTTTGAGAATGCGAACTTCTAAAGATTCACGAATTTTCGGTTTTGTTTGAAACCATTTTTGTCTGAAACGCTAACTCATCGAAAATAAACAACAACCCATGTACTAAAAATCGCATAAAAATCGGCAATTAATCGTGAAAAATCATACGATTAATCGCGATTAATTGCCGATTTTTTGGTGATTTTTAGGCAATTTTAGCGGTTAATCGCAATTAATCGACGATTTTTTTCTAGGTACTAGGTTCGAACCCATCTTAGGAAATACATATTTTTTTCTGTTTTTTCATTGTTTATTACGTATAATGACATGTGCGCAACACAGCAATGGTCTTAGCACCAGCTGGCGTCGGAGTCTTGTCGACGAGTCAGCTTTAAACGTTGCCCACATACCATCTGTTCAGTGGGCTTCTCGGTTTAAAGCTCTGAGGAACAATAGAGAAGACTCTTGACAACTCCGTTGTATTCTAAAATAAAAAGATGATCTGAATATAAGTGTATTTTTCGGCGAAATCGTGTTTCTTATATACAAACTTTATTGCAAAAGAAAACGGTGAATAACAACAACCATTTAATCACTTAAAATCAACAATTAATCGCAATTAATTGATGATTTTCGTGATTAATCGCGATGTTTGACAAAGTCATCGATTAATCGCGATGCACAAAAAAATTATCACTTAATCGCGATTAAATGACCATTTTTTTGCTGAATCGCGATTGAGCGTCGATTTTTTCAACCATCGTGATTAATCGACAAAAATGAAGCGATTTTCAGCACATGGGAAGTAAACAAACACTTAAGAACAGCCATAGTAGCGGAATGAGACAATAATAAATGACCTAACGCAATTATCAATGCATAATGACAATAATTATTATAGTCTAACGATCATGGGGAAAAAAGTGTTTCCTTTCGTGTTTTTCCGTCGATTTTTTGCGGACGTTTTCCCTCACCTTAAATATATTGCAAAAGAATCGCATTTAATAATTACCCATTCAAGACAAACTTGGGGTTGATACGTTCAAAATGCAGCTCGACTACGCTAGTGGAGTCGAAGTGCATTTTAAAAAATCGACGGAATCTGTAGCAACGATATCACTCGGCCGTTAGATTGTCAGTGTCAGTGCTATTCAAACCTTTACTAATTCTAAAATCTTATAAATTCTTTACCTCAATATAGAAAAAGCTTAACAATAAACGACACTTTTAAGAGGCTTTTAACAGACCGCTTTTAAAAAGACGTGGACATGAGCTGTTCATTATCAACCACTATTTCATGAAAAAAATTATCATAAAAAGCCATAAAAATGACCGTTTATGACGTTGTTAACGGAACGTTTTTATTCCGTACCATTTATGAGCCGTTTTGAGGTCGTTTTTTCACTGACTGCAAAACGGCTAGCTGAAGAGACCTTTTTTTCGTCTTTTGTACGTTTTTAATGGTCTTTAAACAGGCCGTTTTCAGGATGACTTTGAATTGCTCATTAATTGGCCATTAATTGTTCATGTTTTTCCGCCTGGGTGGCGCAGTGGCATCAGATACTGTCCACACAGTGGCGGCGGAACGATTTCAGTCTAGGAGAGGCTCAAAATTTTTTTGCTCACTATATGTAAACTAAAGATGAGATCTATGATATTTTCTAAAATATTTGAGCCTCCCCAAGCCTTCCTCTTCCTTTTCTAGGGGAAGCTTAGGCCTCCCCTAGCCTAATAGGTCCGCCGCCACTGTGTCCACAATATATCGGGCGATAATTGATTAATATATCGACTAAATAGCTACTGATCAGTGTTTTTTCTCAACCGGATATCTCGGGTACGATATCTAGTCGCTAGTTATCATACCCGATATAGCTACCCAGGTCCAATTTTACGACTGCCGTAAACGACCGTATACAGTCCTATACGACCGCCGTAAATCACCATTTGCGGTCGTATTTGCATCGTAAACGGCCGTATACGGTACAAATACGGCAGTAAACTGCCGTAACTACACCGTAAATACGCCGGCCGTTTTACGGCCGTAACTGCGCCGTGACCGTTTATGGCCGTTAACGGTCAGTTTAGAAAAAATTATTTTTCGTTTCCAGCATCTTCTACAGAAGATGTATACAGAGCTTCAGGACGTCACCCATGCGATACAACGAATACGATATTCAAGACGATACAAGTTGTATTGTCTTGAATATCGTTTACCACTCACATACATACAATTATAATTGTTTGCCAGGATTGAGATTCGAACACACGTACCTAGAATTATAAATCCAGCACATTCTGGTTATACCATATTGCTTGTAAACAAAAGTGTGAATTTGCTGTTCATGTCTGCAATAAATACCAAGAATTTCCACGCGTGGGCTCCCATGTATGAAAATACCTTACCACAGCTTCCGTCAAACTACCATATATAGTATAGTAATCATAGTTTCCTGAAGTGGAAATAAACTGTAAGGCGCCGCCGAGAGATTGGCCACCAACTGGCTGTTAACGGCCTGTTTACTGGCCGGTTTTTTGCTGTTTTGAGAACGTTAACGCGCCGTTTTTTGTGCCGTTAACTAGACGTTAACCGTTTTTCAAAGAACACTTTGATACCATTCTGATCGCATAAAGAACACTAGTTCATATCGGAAAACTTATAAGAATACATTTTGCGATGGGATTCCAAGGAACACACGTCACAGGAAATTCGCCGTATACGACAGTCGTAAACCGCCGTGTTTCGTCGTAATACGACCGTCGTATACGGCTGATATATATCGCCGTACGTGGCCGTATACGGTCGTTTACGACCGTGTCTATTGGACCTGGGTAGCTAACTCAATAAAAGTGGTACTCATAGCTGGCTGCCACAAGCCGATATTGCCCTATAGCATATTTTTATAGCTAGATATTCTCAAAGGCATTTTTTTGCTTCGGATACATGCTCAAAATTATAAGAACAGCACAGTTTCGAAATATTTTTATAGAAAGGAACAGCTGGAAGAATTC